TCTCTCTCTCTCTCTCTCTCTCTCTCTCTCTCTCTCTCTCTCTCTCTCTCTCTGTGTGTATCTCTCTCTCTCTGTCTCTCTTTCTCTCTCCACACACACATACACACACACACACACACAAATATTAAAAGGCCCCGGAAAAAAAAAACTATATATTTTTTTCCCATCCCTTGATTGTTTCCTTACGACACCAAAAAAAAAAAAAAAAACGTAAAAATGAARAATACAAAGAACTGCCAACCAAAAATCCCCCCCCCAAAAAAAAACTTTTTTTTTTTTTTCTTTTTGAATTTCTTTTCTCCACCTTTTCTGTTTTTTATTTTTTATAATTCTAAAAACTTATTTGTTTCCAAAAAAAAAAAAATGGGGTTGTAGGGATTTTTAATCCCTACAACCCCATTTTTTTTTTTACCCATTATTTAATTCAGGAAAAATGCGGCAAATTCACGTCCGCGGCGTGGACGAGGTCGGCCGCGGACGCGGCCGTATATACGGCCGCCTTCCGAGGTCGACCCCGCAGACGCGTTCGCGGGGGTTTCGTAGCATAGTGCATAATTAGGATTTCGTCATTTTAGTATGGTCAGAGGAGACTGTTTACCCCGTGGCCTTCTCTATGATGTAAGGGATGCCGGACCCGTTTTCCGGCTTGTATAATTCAAAAGCAGCCGTCGTATGAACCAGGCCAGAGTGCCTGGATCATACAACATCTGGCTGCCCTTCAAAAAAAAAAAAAAAAAAAAATTCGTTTGTATCATTGATATGAACAACATACTTTTTTTCCAAATTTTTTTGATTTTTTCTTTTTTTTGGTAAAAAGTATATATATATATATTTTGCGCAGGGCCGGATTTTCCATATCCGGAATTAATCCGGAATTTTCATCCGGATTGAAAATTCCGGATAAAATTGGCCTGCCGCATATCCGGATTTGCTACCTGTGTAAATCAGCGTAAGGGTCACGCCCTGCTGCCAAGCTGCTGATGCTACACACACACAGGCAGGAGCTGGGGCAAATGCCATTGCACTGAAAGCAACTGCATACCCCTCACACTGTGTGTGTGTGTGTGTGTGTGTGTGTGTGTGTGTGTGTGTACCCCTCACACTGTGTGTGTGTGTGTGTGTGTGTGTGTGTGTGTGTGTGTGTGTGTG